GGAGCGCGGGCCGGGGGGAGGCGATACTCGCCTCGGGGCGTGAGGTAAAAGGGCGGGCGGGGGCCGCCGCCGCCGCGGTGGTGGCTCTTTCGCCGGGGGTCGGCAAGCGGGGCCTCTCCAGCAGCCGCTTCAGCAGGCTCGTAGCAGTTGGAAGCCGAGCGCCTCCTTGCCGGCGGCGGGTGACCGTCAGGGGGAGCCGTGCGGGCGCTGCCGGCACAGGGGCCCGCCGGGCGGGGCCTTCCGTGGGGGCTTGTGCCGGGCGAGCGGGGAGATGCCCGGCAGCAATGTTTTCTTAGCGATTACTTTCTGCGAGGGTGTTCGTGAGTGTACTTACACGAGAGCTACCGGGACATAATGCTGCTTGTTGCGCCTCCGCCATCTGCTAGAAAGCAAACGCACGTTTTCTTTGAATTACTGCTCTTTTCTTAAAGAACCGCCCACCTCTTTACATAGGGGTCATCTCCCTGCGAGAGCCTGACAGAATTAGTTCATGTCGGCCAGGTATTTCTTGTTTACAGGAGTAAATTAACTCCTTTCGTAGGGAAGACCTTAATATAATAAAGACAGCCAGTTTCAGGAGGAATTGTTGCACTGATATGCTGTGTTTACCTCGGAAGTTCGGGGAAATTGCTTTGTTTTGTCTCATCTCCGTCACTTTGTGCTGCCTCTTCTGCTTTCAGTTTAGTAAAATAAAAGGTGATTCTTAGATTTGTTGCTTCATTTAAGTTCCCTTTGCTTCTTTGACAGAGGAGGGTCCTCTTTAAAATTCTGTTTGCGTGCCTAGTGTTTGCAACTTCGATCTGTCTTAAACTACCACGTTCTTTTTTATTTCCCCCCAGTATGAGAATGGCAGAGATGGCGTCCTCAGACCTGGAAGATTTAGCTCTTCACATCAACACGAAGATTTCAGATGTTAAAAGGACTCTTCAGTTAAGAAATGCAGGTAAAGCAAATTTAGGAGTGGGGTTTGGTTTGCACCTCCTTGCAGAAAAGAGGGATGCTGTAACGAGACACAGAGTGTAAAGTGAAGTGGAAACCAGTAAACTATAGAGAACCACAACAAAGTGAGCAAGGATGGCAAAATGGGAGCCTTATCAGGGAATTAGGTGCCAAGCAGAGAATATGAGTGCAGTGGAGATGTGTCCCCCTGAGGGACCTGAAGGCTGGCGGTTAATCTACCCTATATTCTATATCTGTGGTGAGGAAAGCTGCAAATAAAAGAAAAACCATTTTGGTGAGGACATTAAGCCTAATTACAAAAATGTGCAAAGGCACAGATGGAGGTTTACACAGGCGTCTTGTCCTTGCATCCCAGGAGTGCCTGGCTGCGATGCCAAACAGGCCGTGGGGTAACAAACTTATTTAAACCAACGTCCTGAAATCGCTTTAGATGTTTTAGATTCCTCTCTTCTCCTTTCCTAGGCCCAAAGAGAGGTTACGCAGGATGGTTGGGAGCGTCATCTAGGCTAACCTCCTGTTTGAAGCGGAACTGCTGGCGTAGGAGGTTGGCAGTTTGACTAGTGAATATTGCTGCTTCTCCTGGGAAGATGTGGTGGCTGGGGAGCGTAGTGAGCCAAAAATCACTGCTTGTGGAGAGGAGAGAAATAGGATTTTGGTTTGGAGTTGGGGGGTTTTTTGGCTTAACATTCTCCCTTTGACAGGTGAAGAACCATCCTTCAAATCCATGCTCGGTGAAATAAAGCACGAGATACTTCTTGTGAAAGATCTCCTGAATAAAATGGAAATGGAAGTTAAGGATCACAAAGAACTGAATGATTTGCTAAAAGTAATCTTTTTTTCCTGTTCATAAAATACTGAAAAATTCAAACAAATCACTGATAAGTGCATAGTTGTTCTTTTCCAGATCCTAAGTGATATGTTTGGATGCACGAGGCTGCTCACAAGTGGAACTGCAACGCAGAACAGGCTTCCTGATAGTTTATTAAGCAGCTCTCAGCATAGTGAGCATTGAGCCTTGAAGAATAGCATTTTATACATTGCAAGCATGGCTTTATCACAATAGATACTGTGATCTAAAGAGCAGTTCTGTTTTTACACCCTTGCAATAGCTATGGAAGTGATCTAATCAGAATATTTATCTGTCGTTTCGGGGTGTGTTTGCAGTGCCTTCAGGTCTTTTGGGAAAGGGCTCTTTGGGGACTGTGGAGGAGTTTCTTGCAGTGTGCTGTCACCACCATCACCTTTCCCCTGCCCATACTGCTGGAGTACATCACTAAAGATTTGCTGCTTGCCCTGTCAGATTTCTTTGATGCCCTGACACACACAGGCTCATGTTTTCTTGCTCTTCTATTTTGTTTTTGTGAGATTTACTATTTGCTCTTGGGAAACGGAGAGAGCAAAGAACACCTCTTAATAAAGCTAAAAATTTATTTTAGCATTGCCCTACTGGTAAGCTGATTTTTCCTTGGTTGATGTTAATAGTTTAAGATTTCTGATCAAGTCTAACGTTAATTTCAGGAGCTCCAGAAGTCTGCAGAGAGCCAAGCAATGGAAGCAAGGCACCTCATTGAAAATATTCCTCGCTGTCTGCTAAAACCAACACAGAGCTGGTATGTGGTACATGGGCACAGAGACACCTCCCTGCTCCCAGCAGCATCCAGCTGCAGCCCTGCACAACTCCACTCCTTTATACTGTACATTAACGCTGAGTTTTGGGGAGCTGAGGTTGTTACATGTATTAATTGTGGACTTTGCTATTGATTGTTTGCTCCTGCGAGCATCCTAACAAACCCTGCAGGTAAAAACCTATAAAATACCACGTTGTTCAGATGGAAGCTTCCAGTGGCAGGTGTGACATTATTGCAGAAAGCCAGGTCTTTGATAAATCTGAGCATTCCTTGAGAATTGCAAACACACTGAGTTGATAGCTGCAGTGCTTAAGGATTGAAGGGTGGGTGACTGAGCCAAATGCTGGGTCACTAGAACTGAAGTTAAACACCGCCCTTCCAAATATCATTGTTTAAAAAAAAAAAAAAAAAATAATCCTGTAACTCAATCACCTTGCTGTGGCGATTTGACTTACGGTTGTGATAGTTTTAATCTCCTTTCTCTGCAGCAGCCTGGCATTTATTTTAGCTAGCAGTGACATCCACCTGCCTTTGAGGGCTGAGAAGCTGTTCAGAATAAAGTAGTAGGAACAAGTATGTGAAACAACAGGCTGCTGTTACTCAGAAGGCTTCGAAGACATTATAATTCTGCTGCGGTTTCTCAGAGTGGCCAGCTCTTTCTCTGGCTTGTTGGAATTGCTTTTTAATTTTGAGTGATGTTAGTGTATGCCAGAAGGGGATCTCTTCTAAAGTCTAACATCTGGGGATCCCAGAATGTGTTTCCACCCTTGTAGCTTGGCAGAAGGCAGCACGTCAGTCTCTTTGAATTCAGTATTTCCAACACGTGTTCTGAATATCAGCTTTACCTGGTCTTGCTCTTAATGACAGACAAGCCCCAGGCTGAAAACATTACAGGCGTATTCCAGCCAAGTAAAAGGTTAGGGAGGTGGAAATAAGGTTGCAGAAGAGAAAAATGAACTGTAGTTTTAGAGAGTGTGTAGCAATATTCTCATCTGTGTAGGTACTGCTGGTATTGCCACTTGGGCTAGTCTTAGCTGATAGTTTGTGCAGAATGGTCACTTGTGCAGAGGCTTTTTTTTTTTTTTTTTTTTTTAGACATAAACCCTCAATTTAGGAAATAGTCTCCTAAAGTTTGTTGTCATGTCTTTTTTTCAATTTCCTTTTCAATCTAGACATTGGGGATTTTGTGTGTGTGTATGAATGGAAGTTGTTTAGAAATGATCCCGGTGGCTCTGCCTTCCTTTCCTAACTTTCTTAATTTAGGAAACCGCTTTGTCTTAAGTTTATGTTACCTCTTGGAAATTGTTTAGATGCAAATGAGTCTTGTTTAGTGATTCTGTCACTTCTGATATCAGACAGATTCCTTGGGATGTTGGTTTCCCTTCCAGTCTTGTCCTGTTTTTGATCAAGAAGTTCACTGTGATACTGCTTTAGCCGGTCCTTCCTTTTCTAGAGAGAACCACACATGTAAAACTAGGTGATTTTTCTAATAATTTTCTCCAGATTGTGCTCTGCCAGCCCCCAGCTGCTGTCTTGTTGGTGTCAGTTTGTGGTGTGGGTTTTTCCAGAGGAATAAGAGATTATATGTTAATACTGTCTGTTGAAGCAAGCTTTCTCCTTTTGTCTCCATGTTGGCACTCCTGGTGTCCACTGTGTTGTGCAGCAGAGGATCAAAGTGCAAAACAGGCCCTAATTGGTCAGAATCCATCTGTATCACTGGAAACAGGTCTTCACTCCTCTTCCTAAAAACCCTTCTCTGTTAACCTTCTCCATTTTTGTTCCTCCACATCCCTGAATGCTTGGGGAGCTGAGTGCTAATTGTCTGCTGAGTGACTGTGATGAGGTAAGGACTGCAGAAAGCAGAGTGTGCGCCTGGCTGCTGGTGCGACAGGACTTTGCATCTCAGCACTAGCCTGGCCAACAGAGACAGGGAAGGATTCTGAGCCCTGGGCTCGGCACTGGGGAGGCCGCCCCTCGCTGAGGGGGTTCAGTTTTGGGCCCCTCACCCCAAAAAGGCCATTGAGTGACTCGAGCGTGGGCAGAGAAGGGCAACGGAGCTGGGGCAGGGTCTGGAGCACAGGTCTGCTGGGGAGCGGCTGGGGGAACTGGGGGGGTTCAGTCTGGAGAAGAGGAGGCTGAGGGGAGACCTCCTGGCCCTCTGCAACTCCCTGCCAGGAGGGGGCAGAGAGGGGGGATGAGTCTCTGGAGCCAAGGCCCCAGCGCCAGGCCCCGAGGGAATGGCCTCAAGCTGCCCAGGGCAGGGTCAGGCTGGCTCTGAGGAAGGATTTCTGTGCAGAAGGGGCTGTTGGGCGTTGGAATGGGCTGCCCAGGGCAGGGGGGAGTCCCCGGGATCCCTGGAGGGGTTGAAGAGTCGGGCTGAGCCAGCGCTGAGGGATCTGGGGGAGTTGGGAACGGTCAGGATGAGGGTCATGGTTGGGCTGGAGGAGCTCCAAGGGCTTTTCCAACCCAGATGATTCTGGGATTCTCT